ATGTTATGTGGTACATTTAATGAGGCAAAAACACAAAACAAAAAGGGAATTGTATACTGGACATCCTAGCATAATGTAACTAACACCCATTCAGACTGAATTTAGAACAGCATTTTGCTTTTTAAGGCATTGTTTGTACTTTAGTGACCTGTGGCCACTCAACTTGACTACTTCCATTCCTGGTTACAACAACATATCAGCTTATAATAACCCCTGGAAAAAAGTTTGGAATTATTAAAAAGAGTTTAAAAAAAAAGTCTTCTGTCTAGCAAATGAACAAATTGTTTAATTGCTCTGGCTTTATGAAACATGCCTCAACCAAATGTAATACTTTTTTGATAAAGAAGATCAAAGTACCTCCCCTCAGGCTTATGCAATGGCCTGAGCACATGTACTGGAAGGGAAACTAGTTTTGACAAGGAGGCATTTTGCTCAACTCATTTTGCTATGTTATTAAAAAGAAACATCTAAAAAAAAAAAAGTGTGTGTGTGTACACAAAACTTTAAAGAAAAACAAGCAACCGTATCCATAATTCTGGATGAATGACCTCTCCTTAGTTTCAAAGAAACACTAAGGAGAGTACTTCCACAAGTCCAACCTACACAGGCACATGTGCTCCTCCAAATGTCAAACTAGTTACTGCAGTTGTTACAGAGTCAATGAGCCGCTGTTAACTAAATAATTAACTTGAGCTGCAGTAAGTCGAGCATGATTCAAATTAAACACTGTTGAAAAATGTCAGAATTCAGCTGACCTTCGTGAATAGACCCCCAAAGCTCCCCCATAACATCAACACTGGGTTTCATCCATGAAAAAAAAAAAAAACATTCTCCATCAAGCTGATTCCAGCTTTCTTGTGTAACAGCTGACAGATGAGCTTTGCAGGTTGGAGAACTTTTTTTTTTCTTCCCTAAAATAATTTTGCCAGGGGTTGTAAAAAGACCTTTCCTTATAGCATCTCTGTATAAACTTCTTGATTCTTTTTTTCTAAAACATTTTCATGAAAGAAAACAGTTCTTGTTAAAACATCTTCATTTAAAGAAAAAGAAAAAAAGAATTTGGCATAGTGGCAGAAATTCATTGGCGTACGAATCAGCTTTTATAGACAAACTCCACAGACGATCAGTTCAGCTCTTACCTCCAGAGTACGGACAATTTTTCAAATAGAAAAACAAAAACCCATGAATTCTGTTTTTAAAAAAAAATGTTTTATTTCATTCAAAGTGACAGCGGTGGATTCAGGATTTTTATCTGTTGTTTCAATGCTTCTGTCAGTTTGGCCTCTATAAACGGACTGATAATCAGCAGGTTTGTTAAATGAAACTTGCATGACGAGCCGAATTAAAGCTATGGTACCACAGGCCGAACACGTTTGGTCACTTGTTGTCACTTTGTACTAAATCTACAGCTCATGTACAGATGTTTATAATGGAATTACGAGCAGCTGACTAAGTGGATTTATCTGCACCTAGCAATGGAAATAAAACTCTACATTTGAAGACTGCAGAGAGTCATTGAGCACAACTTTGGATTTAAAGTCACAACAAACTCCTTTGTTAAAGGTGAGGAAGTAAACTTGTTTACAACAATCCAGCTCAGGACTCAGAAGGGCTGCTGCTCTGTCGTTTTCTGGCATATTAAAGCATTCCTCATCTGTGTGTAAACTGGATAATTTCCCAGGTAATTTGGCAGGAAGTTTCCTTCCCTTCCTGGACAAGGCAACAAAGGTTTAGATCTCAGCAGTGAATGGAAAAAGTTTAGAGCAAGCAGCAGATGTTTCATATTAACATTAAGGCTTCTGGCGATGCAGCAGTTGGATTTACAAGACACTGACTTGTTCCAGACAGATAAGGGTAAACGCTTCACTCAAGCTAACACCAATGACAGAGCAACATCCTCCAAATGAAAATTCAGCATTTGAATTTTTTGAGAAGTCCTCAGCCTGCTTGTGATTCTCAAAGGGTTGTTTTTTTTTATTCCTCCATTAATGGTATCTGACTTTTGTTTCAGACAATAAAATAAATAAATTAAAAAAAATATCCTACCAACCTTGTGCAGTTATACTTGGTAAAGAGGAGTGTTGGACAACACATTGTATGAACATTTTTCTTTGGAGCAGATTGATCTTTTCACTGACCATCAGTCTCAGGGTGGTTTCACACTGGCTTATTTGTATATATAGGTCTACATTGTCACCACAAATATGCACATTTTTGTTGCATTAAAACAACACGCCAACCTCATTACTACAGCAGGCTGTTTGTTTCTTATAACAGCCATTTTTTAAAGTACACATATGCACAGAATTACAAAGCAAACAGTTGCATTCATCAACTTGTGGTTTAAAAAGTACATCCAGTAGGGGGCAGATCAGAGACAAATTACAGACTCTTCATGACAACCTTAAAAAGGCCACTAAAAAAAATAAAAACAAGATAAAAATGTTTTTTTTAGTATTAAGATTTTTAGATAAAAATCCAATACTATATTTACCTCCTGCCCACATCGACGATGGCACATGTGACCCAACTGTGTGAAGCCCAAAAGTTATGATTCCTCAGACTTTATATAAAAGACATAATAGTTTCTGTGACATCACCCACTGGTTTCTGGACAGTGCATCACACTGCATCCATTAGTCACCATTTTGTCTTGGTTAAGAATCTGCCTTTGTCAACATACTTCAAAGCTGCCATGCTCCTTTCCCCCCCCCAATCTTTACAAAACCCACATGTTCTCAAGGAGAAACTACTCCTACTACTGTGATGACTGCTACTAATATAGAATTTCTTACTTAATGTCAAGAAGGAAACCCAAAGTAGAAATGCTTTTCTCTAAAGGCCACTTGAGGCTAGCTTCGAAATGAAATAAAATCACATGTAGGCAGCTGTAAGTGCCAAATTTGAATAACATGGCCTGATGTGCCTGATTGTACTATCAGGCAACCAAAAACATCTGTGGTCCAATTTTGGTGAGCAAAAGTTTGAGAAACAAAAACCAAAAGCATGCAGTCTGTTGCTTAACACGAATCTAAAGTCTAGTTAGTAACCAGGCTTGCAAACATCAGCTGGTAACTGTCATGTAATTAATATATCCTTAGTATCCTTATTTTCTTATTATATTGTTTTATGTACTTTAATAATGAAGGTTTGTAGAGAAAAGGCCACTTTTGACTCAAACTAAGTGCTCAGCCAGACTGAAAACAGGAAGTGTAGAGCTGTACAGCGTATTAATAAATGCAGGAAGCCAGACAGAAAAGAGAAACTTTGCCATATAAGCAATGGTTGTATTGAAACTGGGACGTGTAAAGTACCAAAATAATACCTATATGAGACAAAGTTTATGATTCTAATGTTAATGATCCTGCAACTGGCGTTTTGGGCTGTGCAGGGGTCTCTCTCTCCAGGAAGATGATTTAATAAAAAGAAATATAAATGTTTTAACACACTCTGAGTCGGTTTGCTCTGTTTTATCATGGGGACAAAAGAATCGGGGTTAATATTTGGTGTTTCCGCCCGGTTCGTTTGTGTCCCAATTTGAATTTCTTCTTAACATCAGGAGAGTTGACATTGAGACCAGATCAGCGGCTGCCGCTCAGAGATGAATTCTTCTCAGGCAGCGGCCCCAGTGTGGACATGGACTATGAGATGTTACGCTGCAAGTTTGATTTTCGGGAAAAGAGGTGCAAGCTGCTTCTTCATTGCATGTGTATTTTTATAGTCAGGTTTAATTCATGCATCCTTGCACTGAGCTGTGGATTCAAACTGTCTCACTTCTGATCCTTTCCAAAAATAATTTCACATGTAACAATTTATGTATGTGTGTTTTCTATTCATTCACGTAATTGTTAGTTCATGTATTTATCTTTCTCTGTGGTGGACAATCCTAAACCTCCATGAGTTCAGCCTCCATTTTCAATCCAATTATATCCTGTACTCTCTCACTCGAACTCGTCCGGGCTTGACCTCTCACTGGTCCCTGTCCCTCTTCTCACAGTGTCCTGTGTGGCCTTCAAATCTCCAGCAAACACAGGCCCAACTCAGCTGTTTCTTCTTCTCTGTTAATCTTTCAGTCTTTTCTTGTAGGTTAACTCCCAGCATGGCAAATATCACGTCCAGTGCCTTCAAACAGTCATGTCACTTGTCAAGTTTGTGATTCAAAGCTCCATCAGTGGCATTCATACATGCTGCTGCTTGACCCTTCAGTGTTATAGGTCAGTTGCACTGACTTTTGCCTGCTGTTAACTCTTCAAGTTCACGGTGCTCAAACCCCAAAAAGAAGCACAGAGAACCATTGTTCCAGAAAATGTGTTTAGGAGATTAAAAGCTCGTAAGACATAGGTTAAATGTGAACATAAAAGATATGCACTACCTGTTAAAGGGGGCGAAGAAACCAGGCCTAAAGTTTAAAGATGAAACGGGTTAACTCTATAGAGGATGTTACCGAAGGTTGACAAAATAATCTAGGACCTTTTACCAGAAAAGCTAATTGTATCTGTTTGGAGTTTACAGTGTACACTGAGGGACGTCAGGAGTGGTTTTAAACTGGGATTGAAAGAACAATACAGTATCCACATCTGAACTGATATTACCTGTGATGTGCCAATATCAGCCCTTATATTTTCAATAACTAAGTTTAGGTTTCAAGTATCACCACATTTTGAGTATTTTTGTATTGACGTGCAACAGAAGGACTGGTTCTCCTGACTTTACTACTCCAATGAAGGTTGGATACAACAGGGGGTTATGTGCATTGATTAGAAAACTAAAATCTCCCTATTTTGGATGAAATCAGCTGCAAACCTTGAGACTGCTGAATCACACAGGCTGAGAACCAAGACAGGACAGGAAGTTCCAAGTATCATTGGCTTACATTCTGAAAATGCAGAAGTAACAAGGCTTAAAAAGTTTGTCATGATCTTCTAGGTCAGGACGGTTTGTGTTAAAATTAGGATCAAATAAAATGGAGGGATTATAAATGATATACAATGCAAGAAATCTTATGTGGCCAAGTGAACACTTCCTTCACTCGGCCTCTTTCCACCATTTCTTCTTAAGGAAAAAGTGCTTTTATTTAAAAAAAAAAAGACAGAGAACAAAGGTTATCCCTGTGTACCTATAAAATCCAATAAAAACAAAGATAGGATAAAATAAAGTTTGTGGTTGTTTCCAGCTCACAGCAAAGGTCTTTGTGGTCTATCCCAGCAGTTGCACACGTCAGGAAAGTTGGTTTTAGGTCTAGAAAAACAGACTGATTTTTTTGAGTTGAGCTTTAACTTCTTTCAGCCAGCAAACGTTGGAAGAGGCAGGGGATCTCTAAATTACATAAGCCTCACAGATGTGTCCACAGGTAATTCAGCTGTCTGAAAAAGCTTAACAACATTCATTCCAGCATTCCTGGATGTCTGACTCAAGGCAGTTGTGGTGACTGACAGAAAAAGTGCAGGAGTCTAATTTCTACCCAAAACAACAAATGTATGGTCTAAAAACTGGCTCAGATTTGGTTTGAGTGCCAGAGGACAGCCAGGTGTTTTGACGATCAGCCAGGTAGAGGTCAATTGAGTTTATGTGCCAGTCTGTCGTTGGTGCCTAGTTCTGTCTGCACGGATGTGGTTGTGTTGAGGTGTAGAGTGATCTTGCCTTCGTTGGCAAGGTGTTGGATGATCTGATTCTCAAAATCAGCGCTGTGGACGCCAGTCTTCTTGAAGGCTCCGGCAAACTGATTCTTCTCCCAGTAATGATGCCAGTTTCCTTGCTTGTCTGCACCATAACCAAACACTGACACCTGGACAGAGAGAAGGAAGCTATTTCATCAACCATGCATGACACACTGCTGACAGGTCATACTGATACTAAATACATCCCGCTTTTATACGCTTCATTTCATGTGTGACTTCTACCCTCACATATTAATTTTTGTGTGAATGCTGTAAGGCCCGGGTTCGAATCCCGCTTATGGCAACATTATATTCAAGTAACAGTTCAACTTTTTTAACTCTTTTCAACACAAACTTCAGCTTCTTCACCCATTTTCAGCAGAATTTTCAGCTTCTTCACCTCTTTTCACAACAAACTTCTGCTTCTTCACCTTTTTTCAGCACAATTCAGCTTCTTCTGCACAGTACACATTTTTTCTCTCATCACATCTTTGTTTGGGACCGGAACTGGTTTGGCTCAGTGGGATGAGCAGCCGCCGTGAGACCTGGTAGCAAAGGTTCGAATCCTACCTGTGGCGGTTGCCGCACATCTTCTCCCGTTTGCGTGCACTCTGCTTTCTTGACATTCTTCAGTCTACCCTTTCAAATACAACTGTCTTCAGCAGTTCAGCTTCTACACCTCTTTTCAGCAGATAATTCTGCTTCTTCAGCTGTTTTTTAGCAGATTCCACTACACGGCATTCAAACTGCATTTTCGCAGGAAATGCAACTTTTTCTAGTCTTGGTTGTATTGCCATGACTTGCTAGTCTGGACATGCTACAATATTGTTTGGACTAGTCTGTTTTTGGTTATAGTAACACCATATTTTGTGAATATACAAAAAAAAAAAGAAAGAACAAATGTGGTTTTTCTCTCTACACCCAGTCTTTACTTTCCTCTTACCTGGTCACAGACATGCAGAGCAAAGACGATGGCCAGCATGCCGGTGGACGGGTAGCGACCATGATGCTCGTTCCAACGTTCATGAACATACTTAAAGAACACTGGGTTCACCACAACAACCTACACACACGCACACACACACACACACACACACACACACACAGTTTGTTTAAAATGGATGTGTTTTACACAAGAGTAGGCTTGCATTGCCCACAGTTCCAAAATAAGCCCCCTGTACTTACAAAAAGACTCTTGTTGCAACCCCTGAGTTTATCAGGGTAGATATGACAGAAAATAAGGAAATGTATAACAGGTCATGTTTGAACATCAAATGTAGTGGGGCATCTGTGTCCAGATCAGACCAGAAGTGTGGATTTCATCATGTGTGGTTTCTGGTATAGACACTTCCTTCACTCTCACTTGTCTTAAAAAATAAAAATACTACAAAGATTTATTTGCTCATCTTTGTTCCCTTATTCTTTAGCAAATGCAATTTTTAAAATCTTGTAAATACTGGTAGATAAAACTAAGAACTAAAAATAGGAGCAGCAGCAGCAAAAAAAAAAAAAAAGGGTGAAGCTGAAAGTAAAAATAGCAACAGAAAGCGCTGTAGAGAAAACTGAGATCAGTCGAGATCATAATTTACCTTGTCTTTATCAGCGTGCACTCTTGCTTTCACCCTCATGTAGGTCCTGAAAAAAAGACACACACAAACACTTACATACAGGTCATATATGTTTACAGTGTGCCACGTTTCTTTTTATCTTTTTGCATTCATGTATATTAGTGTATAAACATATGCAACTCTTACTTTTCTCTCTCTCTCTTATATATAAGAGATATATATCCCGGGATCCCTCATAGAGGGTCTTTGTCCCTGGGGGGGGGGGGTTAGGGGGGGGGGGGTTAGGGGGGGCGTTCGTTTTAGAGTAGCCTTATCACTTTAGGCGCTATGTCGGCTGCGTTTTGTTTACAGCACTTTATAGATGCCCCATCTATTGAGCTTTTAAATAGCTGTCACAAAAACGATTTGCTGCAAATTGTGGATCACTTTCAAATGCAGGTCTCAAAAAATCTCCGTAAGATGTGATTTGAAAGCTTTAGTAGTGGACAAGTTGGTGGAAGCTGGTGTGATTCAAGCGCCTGTTTTGCCTGTGGTCTCTGGTGTGCCAAGCCAAGCTGCCATAGTTGAGGAGGGCCATAAGAATGGTTCTTGTGGGGATGGCGAGGGGGATGAGCGGGGAAAAACGCCACGCACGCTTCCTCGCTATGATCCATTCTCCTCTGGGAGTTCAGATGGCAGAGAAGGAGCTCGGCTGAAGGTGCGGCTGGCACGTCTCAAATTGGAGGCTGAGGAGAAGGCCCAGAACAGGCGGCCTCAGCTAGAGCTTGAAATAAGAAGGCTGGAGATAGAGGCAGACAAGGCCATTAGGCTGCGAAAGCTTGAGCTGGAGTCTCAGCCTCAAGCCTCATCTGTCTCTGCTGACAATTCCGGTTCCACCTCCTTGTCCGCTTCTGCTTTTGATATCAGCAAGTGTATTTCTTTAGTGCCCACTTTTAGAGAAACTGAGGTTGATACATACTTTGCAGCATTTGAGAGTATCGCTGGCGCATTGCTGTGGCCTAGTGATATTTGGCCTCTTTTGTTGCAGTGCAAACTGCCCGGCAAAGCCCAAGACGTGGTGGCTGCGCTTTCTTTAAAGGACAGTTTAGACTACGCGTGTGTTAAAACAGCTGTTTTGCAGGCATATGAGTTAGTCCCTGAAGCCTATAGGCAGAGGTTTCGCCAAAGAAAATGCCGACCCAAACTTATGTGGAGTTTTCTAGAGAAAAGGGGATTCTCTTTGATAAGTGGTGCGTTGCTTCAAAAGTAGGTGACTATGACGCTCTGCGTGAGTTACTATTGTTGGAGGAGTTTAAGAAATATTTTCCTGAGCGTATTGTGCTATATTTAAATGTACAGAAAGCGACTTCTCTCGCATCTGCTGCTTCTTGCTGATGAGTTTGTGCTCACTCATAAAGCCTCGTTTACTGGCAGTGAGAAGCCACGGGTTAGCGCTGTGCAACAGCCCCACACGGCTAAAGTGTCTGGGTCCAGGGAAAACCGCGAATGTTTTTACTGTCATAAAACTGGACATGTGATAAGATAAGATAAGATAACCTTTATTAGTCCCACACGTGGGAAATTTGTTTGTTGATTGCTGACTGTTTAGCCTTAAAACACAAAACATCAAATGCTCAGCAACCCAAAGGGGTGGGTTTTGTGAAAGCTGAGGCCTGTAATGAGGAGCCGGACCCCTGTTTTGAACCATTCATTTTTGATGGCTCAGTATCGCTAACCGACAATCCCTCCGATTTAAAACCTGTGCGTGTTTTAGGGACACTGGAGGTTCTCAGACTGTCATCCTCTCGAGTGTTTTACCTTTTTCTGCTGAAAGTGAATGTGGTTTTAATTCTGTTCTACGGGGGACTTGTTAAGATAAGATAAGATAAGATAAGATAACCTTTATTAGTCCCACACGTGGGAAATTTGTTTTGTCACAGCAGGAAGTGGACAGTGCAAAAGTTATGACGCAAAAATTAGAATACAATAAGAATAAATACAGTACACAGCTGTACAGAATAGAATAAAATAATATACTATATACAGTAGAATAAAATAGAATAAAAATATACAATAAGATAAAAATAGAATACGAATGCTATATACAACTGAGTAAAAATACAACGATGCCAGACTAGACTGTGCAGACTGTCCCTCCTGCCTTTGCACCTTCGTTTTGAGTAGCTGCCGGTGAGATGTTTAGGTGATTAGTGTTCTACTATTGCTATTAGCGTTATTTGAATATATGAGTTGTTTGTTATGTTTGTTTACATCACCCCATTGCGTAGTGAGTTGTTTGACTAACGGTTTTCAGTTGTGGTAACAAACCTTCTGTTTTTCTTTTTATCTAACCCTCTGGGCTCATATTTATATATATAGCCAAACAGCCCCCTAGTTCTTGTTCTCTTGAAATTCTTTGTAGTCTATCACTCTTTTAACTCTCTCTCCCCATCAACCCTCTGCTTACTCTGCTCCACCACCACAACCATCTAGACCAGCGGTCTCCAACCCCCGGGCCGGTACCGGACTGTGAGTTGTTTGGTACCGGGCCACGAGAGTTGAGGCTCAGGTTTGAAATTGATGGTTTTCAGGGTTTTTATTGTTAACTCTGTTTCCCTGGGTATTTTTCCCATGTTGTAGTTGTGTGTCTTATTTTGAAAGAAATATTTATGCGTTACCATAGCAACCAGAGAGCATTAAGGGGCAGAGAGGAGGATGTTACTCTCAATGTTGTTGGCGCATTTCAGAAGGACGCTGCTAATAAAGTTACACAATTACACAGTGAATTTGCATTTATTATTATATTTACCAAATGCCACCGTTTTTTCTTGGTCATTTTATTTTGTTGTATATATCAGCGACACCTTAAAGGCCGGTCTGTGAAAATACTGACATTAAATCCGTGGCGCAAAAAAAAGTTGGGGACTGCTGGTCTAGACTCCAGGAGTTTAATTTTAGATTTTTTTTTAAATAAACTTTTCCCTCTTACATCAAATAATCTCTCCTGTCTGATATGTTTTTTGATGTCTTTTTGATGGATGCATGAGATAATGAGCATACTTGTTTTTTTATATATATCGTACATTTTGACTGTTCCGGTGGACAGCGCACTGGTCAGCCACTCCAGGTCTCTCAGTTTGAATGGCAGCAGGATGAGGCTGGTACCATTACTGATGTCCACTGCACTCTCTGGGTACAGGAAGTGATGCGTCGTCCGACGACCGACGTCTTCCTCAAACCCTTTAGTCACCGCCTTGTTCATCCTGAAGAAAAAAAAACATAAGGAGGGTGAGGGCTGTGTGCGCGCGATTGTGTGTGTGTGTGTGTGTGTGTGTGTGTGTGTGTATGTACCGGAACACGAAGCCATGAGAATCAATGAGTGCACCGTGTCCAGAATGCCGTAAGTTGCCAGAGTTGCCAACCACTGCACAACTACGGCAACGTGAGGGCACGGGCTCCAAGTCTATAGAGGGTGGGGATATGACCTGGAACATCTTTGAGATCACTTCCTCCAAGGACTGATCGTTACCGGCCCGTTGAAGACTCTGTGGAAGAGCAGACAAACATTTTTTTTTTCTGTTTAACACACTTATACTCAAGTAAAACATTTGCATAATGAGTCACGTTAAAAATTCTTAAACTTCCAGTGTCAAAAGGCTTGTTATTGGTGCTTATCTCTGTCTTTCATGACAGTAAAATAATTTTTAGTTAAATAATTTCTTAATTTAAAAAAAAAGAAGCAGGCGAAAGAGTACTGACACCCCTACCCCCACCCGCACACACACACAATCGCGCGCGCGCACACGCACACAATCGCGCGCGCGCACACGCACACACACACACACACACACACTTACTTAACTGCCTTCTGTGGCCCAGACTAATTATGTTAGCAGCATTACTGGCCTCCTCTTTTTAATCTACTAATGGTTTCTGCAGCAGGAGTTCACCTCTCTAAATGCAGGAAAAAGACTCAGACATTTGTCTTCTCATGCAAACTGCAGCCAGTCTCCACAAGGACAAATTCAGGCTTCTGAAAATACAAAACTTCATAACTGTTCTTGACTATTTACTGCAACATCATCCAGTATGTTACAAAATATCTGTTGGTCTTTCAATTTAAGACAATGCCCAGAGATTAAGCTGATTTGCTGTTGAGTCATTTCCCCTTTGAAGTAGGGCTGCTCGATTATGGCAAAAATGATAATCACGATTATTTTCACTGAAATTGAGATCACGATTATTTGACGATACTTATATTATTTTTTTTACATGTTGTAGTGCCATTTGTGGGAGCATTTCAAGTTGCTATACATCAATACAACTGTTATAGCCCATATTTTAATGATATGTATGTATTAAGTCCATAGTAACTACATTAATTGCAAAAAAGTGCAATAAACTACAAAAAAATTGGAAATCGTTTTTGTTTTTTATACATATATTTCTACTTGGAGAAATTTAAGAGGTTTATCCCTCAAAACTTTAAATACAAAAAAAGTTGCAAAAAGTAGTTTACAACAACAGGAAATTTATTTTGAGTGTCTTCATAGTTTTATTTTGGAGATACAGCAATTTTTATATACTGCAGGAAAAACAAAAAAACAATCCTATGATGCAAATTTGCAAAGAAAACAGCACGTGCATCAAAATAAAATATTTCCAGCAGTGCAATTCGAGTTCTAAGCATCCCAGAAACTATTCAGAAAAGTCAAACATGACTTATAAAAACACCAGTATAGGCTTTTAAGGCCTACAAGTAAAAAACTACATTTTCCGCGAAAATGACGTCACTTCCGGTTTCGGGCAGGAAATGCGATAGTTCTCGTTGACGTCTTTTTCAATGTGGGAAGTGTTACGAACAGCTGATCGGATCGGCAAAGCGTGTTTCTGGAATATTATGTTTTTGTTCCTGCAAGCGCTTTTTATGCAATTTTTGCAAAGCTTTATGTGGAAGGAAACTGTGACCTAGGACAAGCTGATGGCATCAGATGTAAGTACAACTCCTCTGGTTTCATATGGAAAAAAATTTATTGCGCTAGCTTATGCGGTTCAGGTTCTACAGGAATTTAAAAATAGTTACACAAAACAGAGCATGCTGCTCTGACCGGCTTTAAAGGGTTAACAATAACAATGTATTGAATAATGACTTTAAAAAATAATATAAAATAGTGTGCAAATACTGATAACAGTGCAAATGTTTGCAATATAAGAAATAAATGAAAAATGTAAACATCTATGTTTAGTGAACTTTGCCGTGTTGCTCTGTGGTGCAGCTACTACACTGTAGCAAAGTTTACACACTATGTCTACTTGTTCCACGTCTGACTCCGCAAACCCATAATGTTTCCACACCACTGAAGTTTTTTTTTTTACCTCTCTTTTCAACCAACAGCAGTCACTCTCCTCTCCAAATAACTTCTGCTTAGCTTTCCGAGCTTCCCTCAGGTCCTCTTAATCGCGTGTTCGAAATGCAGAGCAGTGCGCTCGATTTGCCACACAGAGCAGCGCGAGAGTAAAGCATGAGGGAGGGGCTAATAATCGGCTCAGTCATTTTTAATGATCGTTGAAAGCCCAGATCGTAATCGTGATTAAAATTCGATTAATTGAGCAGCCCTACTTTGAAGGCTGCAATGATTTCCTGTGAATCTTCTTTGTCCATAAACTAAAGCAAAGGAAATAAAGGGAAAACCTGTAAATGACTTGGTAATTATTTACTTACTTGCAATAAAAGCCATTTACTGTAAAAAAACAAAAAAATCGCCTTGTTTATTTATTTATGTAGTTTAAAAAAAAAAGCTTTACAAAAGTTGAATTAACAAATGATGCATTACTTTGAAGACAGTACAGTGGCTTAAGTAGACATTACTAATACTGCTGTACTATTTTAATAAAAAAACATTGATAATTCACGGTAAGTTTATAATTTGGACATTACATTACCATTTGCAAAAAACTCTTGTTTTATTCACAGAAAGTGTTTTGGATTTAGAGTTTAAGTAAACAAAGCAGTCACTGCCACTGGAGTTAGTGACCCTGCTGGCCATTAAAAAGCCACAGTTCTGCTTTTCACATTTCCTGGTTAAAAAGGAACAATCATTCAAAAGAAAGGAAACTTAAAGGGAAAGGAGCTTAAACAGCTTGTTTCAGACCGACCTTCAGACCTTTGGGGGCTACACTAAGGTGGAGTATTGGATAAATAAGGATCATTTTTTAAAAGTGAATCTTGCAAAACTATCTAGTCCAAGAATAAAAATGTAGAGTTGGAAATAATGACAATAGGTCCCCTTTAATAAAATCTGAACTATCACTACATTTTGTCCTTACCAGCCACCATTGAAGTGCATCAGAGTCAAAATTATTGCCGGTCTCTTTGATGATGGGCTGCTGTTTAGCGTCGTAGCGCTGGCTGAACCATTTCGACCCATTGTTGTCTGAAATACAGGCATCAGAGCAGCCACACAGCCTGTAAGAGTACAAAACACAGGTGTAAGACCAGGGTATTAGTGGATATGCAGGGTTACAAGTGTTACATGTCATACTTAGCGTTTTTCATAAGCTGCTCCTGAATCACCATCTCTTCCTCCTCCTCGTCAATTTCTTCCTCAACCATCTCTTCCTCGGTGGGAATTTGTTCAGGTTTCAGGTAAGGAGGTGCCTGACCTGAAATTGGGCCTGTGAATTCAGCTGCTGGAAACAGAAAAAAGTTCAGGCCGTGTGGATCAATACTTAAAAAACAACAACAACAACAACAAAAAACAAACAAACATTCATTTCTCACACCCGCTCTTCACCTGTCATCCTGCCACTGGACGTGCTGTGGCCTCTGGGCGGAGCTGCAGGCTGCAACAGGAAATACCTCCTCTGAATGCTCTGGCTGGCAATCATGAGGAAGAGGATGGCAGCGATCACCAAGGCAACACAAGCCTTCCTCCTAACAATCATTGCTGCACTATCGGTGTTCAGCAGGAAGGGCGTGTTCTTGAGCTGTCAATTGACCAGCTATGTCAGCATAGTGGGAATGTGTCACCTGCTGTCATCTGGACTTTTTCCTTTGTTCTGTCACGACACCACTCAGCTTTTCCTCCATTAAGGCTGAGACCGGTGTTGCTTTCTGATTGGTAGATACAAGATCTATTGTTGGAGACACAGTGAATATTGCATCATTAATAATAAACTAAATATGTGAAACATGTATTTTCTTTTTTGCATTCTTTGCATTGCAACTCAGCAGTGTTTAAATACCTTAAAAACCACTGCAGAACTGATTAAAGATTACATAAAAATCTGATACTGACAAATCAGCCACTGGCAATCACACTCTCTGGGGCCCAGTATCAATCTATATTCAGATCATTTGAAAAACCTTAAGCAAACAAATCGCAGTGCATTTCTGTTTATTCATAAAAAGCCAAATATAGATTAAAAAAATATCATAAAACCAGGGGAATATCTGGAAACTGATCATCTGTGACATATTATAAAATTATTATTAGTTCATTCAAACCTTGGAAAAAAAGAAAGCATTCTGCTGCTCTCCCTCACTCTGATAACAGAGTCATGCTAATTCTTGTTTTGCTCTGCTGCCATGGTGAACTCGGCGTAAGCAGCACTTAAAACAAATTTTCCACCTGCCTCACCTTGCAATTCACTAAGGTGAAAGCTGCTGCCAAGAGGGAGTACCCTCTAGCGTTACAGCCCAAAAGAGCTGAGTACATCACCGATAGGAGAAGTTCCTCCCAGACCCCCCCAAAATGTAGTTTTGATGTCATCACTGATGCTGATAAAGGGGAAGGCGCAGCGCCACTCTCTTAAAAAAATACAGAAAGATTTTTACCGAATGGAGTCATCCTCTTACTCCCGCTCACCTCCACACCGCCCCTCTCCCCCTGAAGGAATGTATCCGTGCACACAGAACTCAGCCTGTGAATCCCAATCAGATCTGGATTCAGTACAGCTTCTCCTGTTTCAGCTCTCAATGTAAATCTCCCTCTCACTGTGTGTGTGTGTGTCTCTATGCACGAACACACTCAGTCTGACCTGTCAGCTAACCTGTGTCAGTGTGTGATTCTTCACTACTATTTATGTAAATCGGCTATCACACAGTTTTCTACACAGTATCCGTTTGATCTGGTTTAACACACATGTGCACTTTACAATCTTTGCTTCCCTTTTTCTCATTTGATTTGTAAATTTTTTCCAACTGACATTCGTCAGTCCAATAAATGATGATAGGCGGTATATTGTCTCAGGTACTTTTTGATGGGCGAAGCAATGTAATCATGCACGGACTGACTTGCTTGTTTAGAATCTACAAGTTTTTTGGAGGGAATGTTTTACATTCTTTAGTTGTTTGTTTTAGAACAGCCTTTTTCCCGCAGCACGCCATGTTATAAATACCCACGAAGAAAACAGCGGCCGTTACAACCTATTTCTAAAAATGTACAATTTCATGCATCGGTTAAAACACTGGACTCCAGGTACATGACGCCCAGCTGAAAACACTTCACGCCAGTCGAGCTGCCCGAGATTCACAGAATTTACAGAAAATGTTAAATTTTTGTGATTTATATCGTTGTCAGGACAATAAATGTCTTATATCGGGATATGAGATTTTGGTCATAGCGCCCTATATCCATATGATATATTCTGTATTTATACAGTGGCTTACAAAAGTAGTCGGACCCCTTGAACTTTCCCACATTTTGTCACATTACAGCAACAAACATGAATCAATTTTATTGCAATTCCACGTGAAAGACCAATGTTGGATAACACCTCCCACCCACTCCATGACATGTTGGTCAGTCACAGGAGCTCGTTCAGTGAGAGACTGAGATTACCGAAAAGCACCACTGAACGACACAGGAAATCATTCCTGCCTGTGGCCATCTCCCTGTACAACGCATCCACTTAACACACTGTTTGCTGCTACAACTACACGTTTCTTTTCCAAATATTTATTTATAAGTGACTTATGTATGTATGTATGTATGTATGTATGTATGTATGTATATATATATTGTACTATTCTTAGTTAGCGTATTGTCTGTCTTGTCTTAATGTTGGTTTAAAATGGAGCACTGTAACAAAAAATAATTTCCCCCAGGGATCAATAAAGTATTCTGATTCTGATTCTGAATACAAAGTGGTGCACACATGAGAAGTGGAACGAAAATCATACATGATTCCAAACATTTTTTACAAATAAATAACTGCAAAGTGGGGTGTGCGTAATTATTCAGCCCCCTTTGGTCTGCGTGCAGTCAGTTGCCCTTAGAAATTTACTTGATGAGTTCTAATGACTAAATAGAGTGCACCTGTGTGTAATCTAATGTCAGTACAAATACAGCTGCTCTGTGACTGTCTAAGAGAATATTGGGAGCAACAACGCCATGAAGTCCAAAGAACACACCAGACAGGTCAGGGATAAAGTTATTGAGAAATTTAAAGCAGGCTTAGGCTACAAGAAGATTTCCCAAGCCTTGAACATCCCACGGAGCACTGTTCAAGCGATCATTCAGAAATGGAAGTAGTATGGCACAACTGTAAACCTACCAAGACAAGGCTGTCCACCTAAACTTACAGGCCGAACAAGGAGAGCGCTGATCAGAAATGCAGCCAAGAGGCGCATGGTGACTCTGGACGAGCTGCAGAGATCTACAGCTCAGGTGGGGGAATCTGTCCATAGGACAACTATTAGTCTTGCACTGTACAAAGTTGGCCTTTATGGAAGAGTGGCAAGAAGAAAGCCATTGTTAACAGAAAACCATAAGAAGTTTGCAGTTTGCCACAAGCCATGTGGGGGACACAGCAAACCTGTGGAGGAAGCTGCTCTGGTCAGATGAGACCAAAGTGGAACTTTTTGGCCAAAATGCAAAACGCTATGTGTGGCGGAAAACTAACACTGCACATCACTCTGAACACACCATCCCCACTGTCAAATATGGTGGTGGCAGCATCATGCTCTGGGGGTGCTTCTCTTCAGCAGGGACAGGGAAGCTGGTCAGAGTTGATGGGAAGATGGATGGAGCCAAATACAGGGCAACCTTGGAAGAAAACCTCTTGGAGTCTGCAAAAGACTTGAGACTGGGGCGGAGGTTCACCTTCCAGTAGGACAACGACCCTAAACATGAAGCCAGGGCAACAATGGAATGGTTTAAAACAAAACATATCCATGTGTTCGAATGGCCCAGTCAAAGTCCAGATCTAAATCCAATCGAGAATCTGTGGCAAGATCTGAAAACTGCTGTTCACAAACGCTGTCCATCTAATCTGACTGAGCTGGAGCTGTTTTGCAAAGATTTCAGTCTCTAGATGTGCAAAGCTGGTAGAGACAGACCCTAAAAGACTGGCAGCTGTAATTGCAGCAAAAGGTGGTTCTACAAAGTATTGACTCAAGGGGCTGAATAATTACGCACACCCAATTTGTAAAAAATGTTTGGAATCATGTATGATTTTCGTTCCACTTCTCACGTGTACACCACTTTGTATTGGTCTTTCACGTGGAATTCAATAAAATTGATTCATGTTTGTGGCTGTGATGTGACAAAATGTGGAAGTTCAAGGGCGCCGAATACTTTTGTAAGCCACTGTATATGTGTATGTGTGGTATATTTATGCGTATATCCTTACTCTCATTCCCTTTTATTGTATCTGGAATATGCAACTTCTGTCGGTGCTGTGCTACTGGAAACTGTGTTTCCTGGAGGAACCCACCCGAGGAATTAATAAAGTTTCATCTAATCTAAATCGCACAAAAGACTTAACATTAAAATCTAAGATTTTCACTGGAAAAAATTGCTTAGGAGTTTCTTCCCGTGTAGGATGAGAGGAAGCAGCTACTGTCAGTGGCTGTCTTATTCACAAGGGGTCACCACAGTGTGTAGTACCACTTGTTTGATTTGGTAAGTTTTTATGCTGGATGCCTTTCCTCGTGTAAACCCAAATTGATGGTAAGTGAAACTGAAAAAAAAAAAAAAAAGTTACACCTGTTACAACCTTTTCAGAACAAGACCAAAGAAGTCAGCCCCATGACGACTGATTATCAACATTGATACCTTTCTCTTAAAGTCATCCACTCCAGATGAGAAGAGTGGCACTCAAAGGACAAAGATTCTGACGCAAAGGCAACTTCCTGGATAAACATAACTGCACAGAGTTTAGGGCGAAGGCGAAGAAGAAGAAGAAAAAAAAAAAAAACTGGAATCAAAGAAAGTGATTTTCCACCACAAAGTATTTTCAAACTCTTGCAACATATTCCCCTAATATATGAATCTCTGAGCTTCTGTACTGATGTATCATTAAATGGTTGTAAAAAGCAACACAGTTGAACACTTGTGTCCTCAACCCAGTGGCTGCAGTACAAAGACCAAGGTTACAAAAATCAAGAGGTGATGAATGGTGCGGTTTGCCAGGCAGTGCACAGCGAGTATAATGGGGCCGTAACTGTATGCCAAGTTGGAATGTCCAAACTTGCTCCAGTACAAAGAGCTTTTAACACAGAGGCAGCTCAGAGCGGATATTATGATTGGCCCTGTAATTCCACACAGGAGGCAGCACACGGACCAACGTGTCTGCTAAAAATCCACCCTGAGAATTAGGAAATGCTTCAAACATCCTTGGGAACAAAAGGGGGGAAAGTTAATTCCAGCATAGTGGTCACAGTAGTAAAAAGTCTGGTGTATATTATTATATTTTTACAATATGCACTGCCCATATATTGGCTTCTCTTTGATGGCCTCCTGTTAAATCTGTTGAATTTAAAATATTTCCTCACACATACAAAGTCTTGAATAATCAGTCCCCATCTTACCCTAATGCTTTAAAGTAAAGTGCAGCAGCCAGTCTGAGACTCTGTGTTTTGTAGAAACTGCACAATAAATTTTTAGAAACTGCACAATAAATTTTTAAGTTAAAAAAAAAGAAAAGAAAGAAGAAGTGTGATGTAGCAAATTTGATACAAAATACAACTCGTACATGCAAATATTTTATATTCTTTTATTATTTTTGAATTTATTTTTTCCCCCATTTGATCAGGAGGTTTACTAAACACTCCATTTTCAATTCCATGTTATTAGCTTAACCTGCAAGTGCCTGGTTTTTCCAACAGAGCACTTGCCTCACAGATTAGGAACCACAAGCAAGTCTCCCGAGTCTGTAAAGGTAGAATGTGAGGCAGAGCCTTCAGCCATCACCTCCATCCCCTGTGAACCAGCTAGTTGAAAAGATCAGATATCTCTCAAAAACATCCTCCTGTTTTCTCTCCTGATGAGTCCATGTGTCCACGCAAGCCAAAAACCACATCTGTTACAACTGCCAGTTATATGTGGAGATGCGGGACGCAATTAAAGCAATGCAGATTTAATTAATTATGGTGCTCATAACAATATTAACTTGTGTGTATAGCTGGGGAAGAGACCTAAAAGTCACCTAGACTGGCAAGCGATCACTGATTGCTTTGACCACAGTCAATCTCCAAAATCATCATCTACTTCTACAGACCTATGGAGAGGTGATACATTGTTGTTATTGTTGGACAGCACTGAGCAGCTCTTTCTGTGGTGGGCTGCAGCACCCACAATGTGGGCAGAGGTCTTTCCTTCGAACTGCTGTCAGACTCCACAACAAAGACTGGAAATGACCACACACGCACAGACAGAAACACACATAACCAATAAACCATGGTAGCCTTCGCTAGTCTCGCTTATGTGCAGTGTAATCTTTCTGACAATTATTTTACATATTATTTTACTCTATTTCAGTCTTTCTCAAACTGTGTTACTTGGGCTCTCTCTGGTGATACACGGGAAATCTCTATGCAAAGATGACACAAGAGTTCCCGAAGCTCTTCTGGGAGCTGGAGTCAACCAGAAAACATTTCCTGGAGCATGAGTCCTCTATAAAGAGCAGCCTTTCCTTATCGCCAGCTACACAGCGCTGGCAGGCTCGTTTCCCTGGCCTTAAAACTGCAAAGGCGGCACGGCGCTGTCACGCTGATGGTACCACCTCATAAAATATATGGCTCTTGAAGTACCACCCTTATGAGCGACGTTAAAGTACAGTAGTATACGCTTAATTAACACCACATAGAGTTTAGACAAGACAATTTTATTTTTTATATGAATGTTATGTATTGTAACTGTCATAAACAGGATGTGGTAATTGATAATAATAACAACCGTACTGCATTAAAACATTCACAGCAGGTGAGATATCTGGTCCCACCTGATGATCTACAAACCCTGCTTCTGGGTCAAAACTATTCCGCGTTTATCAAGGCAGTTGTGTTTGTAACATGTTTTAATGCTTTGTACTTTGTTCTATTTAATCTGAACAAGCCCCTAAAAAAGCAGTGATCACTGTCGGCCTCTCTCGGTTTTTATTACCACTGTTTATTTTAAAGCTCAGTTTTTAAAACCTTATGATGCA